ATTTTTAAGACTTTTCAGCCAAGAGCCCAGGGCTCCTGTCAGGGCCAGGAGAACATGCTGGAACTAGACGGGGGTGGTTGCACGGCCTGTGTGTGGGCACACTCGGCACCGGGGAGCCGCTCGCTTGACGGCGTGGCTCTGTGGGCTTCCTGCGTGTCCTCCCAAGACGCACAGTGAGCCGGGTCTGCCCTGCCTCTCCCGCAGTGTGGATCAGCCTGTACTACGTGGCCTTCTACGTGGTGATGACCGGGCTCTTTGCCCTGTGCCTCTACGTGCTCATGTGCACCATCGACCCGTACACACCGGACTACCAGGATCAGCTCAAGTCGCCAGGTACGGTGCGGCTCAGGACCCTGCCTCAGGGCCCAGAGAGGCCGCCCAGGGGCCCCCTGCCCCTCTCCAGTGGCGCCAGGGCTTTGAGGGGTGCACCTGGGCGTGGACAACCTCAGCTTCGTTTGGGGAAGGTGACCCAGATCATAGTCTGGCCTTGGCTTTGGTTCCAGTTATTAAAACAGGTGTCTGTGCCAGATACGGTCTCGACACGGTGACTTTACACGCTGCTAAGCACAGAGACCTCTGATGGGGAGGCTGTAAAAGCCCGGGAGGACTGTCGTCTCGGGGAGGACACCCCAGGCACAGTTGCCGGGAGTCTAGTGGGGGACAGTGAGGGGGCCAGCTTTACCGAGCTCCACTTCCGTGGGAGCATCTCGCTCCCTCGACAGCAGATTAAATCCAGAACAGTGTCCTGTGAGCACAGGGGCTGCCCTCCTGTGTGGGGAAGGGCCGAGTCAGCACCAAACGAGAGAAGTTCGTTGGTGACAGGGACACGCCAGGGCTCAGACAGGGAGGCGGCACTTCCAAGTCCTGGGAAGGGGTTTGGACCCAGACATGGTCAACCCAGGGTGACCGCAAAAAACAAACAAAAAGTGAGGGAGGGAGGAGGAGGAATGAAGGAAGAAAAGTTTTTTCCAGCACAGCTGCTCAGTGTTTGTACCAGCATCCCTAACTCTGAGGAAGACACCAGGGTCAGGTGACGGCGGCAGGGGGCTGTGGCCAGGAAGGGGCAAGGGGTCCAGCCACCCCCAAGGACCTTCTGCAAGTCATCGTGACCCCAGAACACGCTACTGGGTGTCAACTTTTAGAACCAGCCAATGTGGAGGATTTCAATGTACCTTCAGAGCAGAACGTAACAGACGACAGACTTGAGAACGCACCACCTCAGAGTCTGTCCACCACCCAGGCGGGCAGGAGAGGCCAGAGCACCGTGGGGCTGCGGCCACCACTGGCACCCACGTTCCAGGAGGAGATGAGGCCAGGGAGCAGGCTGGAGCGGGAGGCGGGAGGGGAGCGGGGTGCTGGCCAACCCCACAGCCAAAGGCCTGGATGCGGCCAGATACGAGATGCCATGCTCTCCCCCCAGGGGTGACGTTGCGGCCGGACGTCTATGGGGATAAAGGCCTGGACATCTCCTACAATGTGTCTGACAACAGGACCTGGACGGAGCTGACGCGCACCCTCCACCGCTTCCTGGCAGGTAACGTGTAAAATGCACTGCAGTCCTGCCTCCTTCTCTGAGACACCCCCAGGGCAGCTGCAGCAGAGGCCATGCCCGCAGGTGAGTCTGTCCTGCAGGCTACTCGCCGGCGTCACAGGACGGCAACATCGACTGCACTTCGGAGAAATACTTCTTCCAGGAGCGCTTCCTGGCCCCGAACCACACCAAGTTCTCCTGCAAGTTCACAGCTGACATGCTGCAGAACTGCTCCGGCTCGGCGGACCCCACCTTCGGTTTTGCAGAAGGAAAGCCGTGCTTTATTATTAAGATGAACAGGGTGAGTGTCAGGGGGTGGAGGTGGCCGTGGAGAGGAGGGGCCAGGAGGTGGGCTGGGACCGAGGCTACCGCTGCCCCGTCCCCTCTCCCCTCACCCCTCCCACATTGAAACCGCCATCGTGTGCACAATGGCTGAAGAGAAGCCGGGCCTTGTGCAGGCCCTGGGAGGCACCTGGGACCTGGGGACCAGCCCAGCGCTGGGCGCTGAGAAAGGCTGACCATCAGAGCACAGTGGACCACAGCGGCACGTCCATGTGGACACAGGGACCAGGGGACAGGGAGAGGTGACAT